CCAGATGGTCTTTAAGATCCCTTCCAACCTAAACCATTCGATGACTCTATGCAATCCAGCAGCATAGTGGGGCTGGAAGGCAGCCCAGAGCCTGAATTGTGGCAGTGAATAAAGCATAGGGGATGCCAGGGCTTTTGGACAGGCCTCCAGCCTGAGGGTGAGCCCCAGGGTCAGCAAGTAAGGCTACAACACAGTCAGAAAGCTTCCCTGCCCCCTTTTTTCTTCTTTCTTTTATTTCAGATGAAAATCCATCCATCACAGGGCTCAGGGATTTTGTGTGAAGCTGTGACAATAGGTAGCTGAGCAAACTTCACAAGACTCTGAGGGGAGGGGCCCGGCAACAAATGCTGATGCACAGAAAAGCAAACCAGAGCCCTCGGCAAGCTCTAGCCTGGCTGTAGAGGAAGGAGGATAATCTCATTTCTTTGCTTTTTGCCCTTTTAGCTATTCACAGAGCTTAATGCCGAGTTATTCCCAACAATGAGCCGAACAATCAAACTTCCCTCTGGCCTGGTCAGGCAGACACAACACTTCCACTTTCAGTCACAGGCACACCAGTCCTGCAATTTTTTTTCTTCCCCCATCTTGAACATATACTATTTACCTCTACCCTGTAACACAGAAGATATTTACACTTGGTAACAGAAACTGCAGTTCATGCTCACCAGCCTGCTCTAATCTGATCACCTAAATCCCTGGGCACAGCGAAACACTGGCGCTGCGAGCACAGCTGGTGCTGCAACCTTTGGGTATCCCTCTACACTACATGATGCACAGCCTACCAGCTAATGACCTGTTTTTCATGGGAGGGCACTCTTCCTCCCTTTTGGCCCTCCTGCATACTCACACCGCAGGCCCCAAAATGCAGCCGTGCCCTTGGGAGAAATGTTTTCTCTTCCTGACTTTGGAATCAGTTGCAGATTGCTATTTGCAGTAAGCAGAGACCCACAGCATCACTGGGCTGTGGCAGCGGAGCTTGCTGCTACCACCCCTCTCCTGGCCTGGGAAGAGGGATTATGACTGATCAGGTAGCGGAAGCCAGGCAGAAAGAGAAAAAAAAAAAAAAAAAGAAAGAAAAAACCCAGAAGCTCTTTTGTTGTTAAGACCATTCTGTCCTCTAAACTCATGTTCTGGCCTTATATTTTTGTAAAGCGTTCAGCTGCAGGGGAGGAACACAAGGAGACGGATTGACACTTGTGTAAGTACAGAAGTTCTTGTGTGCAAATTGTATTTTGAGATATAGAGATATATGCACACATATGTAAGAACAATGGCTGTATTAAAAGTCAACAGAAAATATCTCACAGACTTAAGTGGATCTAGTATTTCCCCTCTAACATTCAAAATGAACCTCAGTAACCCGGTTTTAGTTGCCAGAAGTTCTCCTGACATATTCAGAAGCATTGAGAGAGAGAGAGACTAACACCCTATGCCAATAGCATCCTGGCAAGGGGCCTCCTTCCCTTTTCTGCTGAAAAGACATGGGTACTGGTTTGGTCTGTGCAGGAAAATCCAAAATTGAAGTGCCCCCTTCTTCAGTTAAGATGGCAGGGAATGCTGCCCCCATTGACACGAGCCCCTTCAGTGATAAATTTTCCCTGTGTATGAGTCACAGGAAATTATAATCACTGCTTACTGAGACTGCAGAAAACAATGAGATTTCTAAGCTACAAACAGACTTCAATTATTCTTGAAAGACAGACAGACCCTCAAACTGATACGACTGGAGAAAATAAATATCCTTTTGTCTGCACTGCTGGTGGTAATTTCCCATTAGACAGGAAAAGACTTCTTTGATGAATGAATATTGTCTACACATTAGAAGAGGAGCTACTGTATATATCCTAATAGCTCTTGCACGCTTGGTCTCAGCCTCATGTGAGGCCCTTAAACCCCTCGGGTACAATGTGGTAGCATTCATTAGTGTACTGCATTTTTTATTGCAGCATTTGAGAAAAGGATGGTGCATATTAAAATAAATTTGAGCAACTTCCCACTCACCTTGAAGTTACGTGGCAAGGTCAAATACATCTAGCAATCTGCCTTCTCGGCCTGCAGGTAGTCCTTTCCAGTCTAGAAGCTTCAGGAGAAACACTGGCATTGGAGACCAATTTTCCATTTGTTATTATTCTTGTAATTTTAGCAGTTAATCACTTTTCTATTTTGTATTTACTTTGCTTTTCTACAGTGGTAATTCAATCAAAAGCAGAGCGTTACATAGAACTAAGTTAAGCACTGTTTGCAGAAGACAAAGAATATCATGTTTGACAAACTTTGGACCCTTTTGAAGACCCACCAAGTCTCACATCATTTCCTTCCCACAGAAACACGTTATCAGGCATTAATCGTACTAACCATCCCTTTTGTGGCAGTGTTGCATTTCCGCTTGTCATTTTCCCTGGGGCTGGTATTGGATTAAGCTTGGCCTAGAGATGCCTGGGTCACTCCAGCTGCTGGTAGGTCACCTTTTCTGGAACTTCACCGCCACACCATGGATTGGTTGGGAGTCAGGTGGGCTGGTCGGGGGAGCATTTGGCCAATTGTTTTTATCTGGATGGGATTTATTTAGGCTTACGTTAAAAAAATTATTGGAGGGAACAGGAGATTCTTAATCTCATAATTCTACTTTTACAGTCAACCACACAGCTATTTGTGGTGTATGTGCAGTGCTTAAGAAAAAGTTTTTACTAATTTATAGCAAAAATGCTAACAACCTTGTTTAAATTTTTGCTAATGTTTTTATTTGAGAGATTAAAAAACCCAAACAACAAAACTCCCAACATTAAGAAAAAGAAGCAGAAGAGCTACCGACGGGAAATGGTCTGGATTTGCCACTCGAGAGTGGCACCAGTCTGCACACAAGCCAGCTGCAGGCAGAGATGTGGCAGAGACCAACATGGTACTCATAGACTGAATGCGATACAAGAAACAGCAAACCCAAGAATCAGAAATAAAGGCCATAAACCCCCAACAATGCCCCATCTGAGTCTTACTTCCAACAAGAAACATAGGCAGAGCTAGTTTTAGGCTCATCCCGCATTACAGGTGGAAACTGCACTTAAGTTTGTGGCATAGCAAAGGCTGCTAAGGAACTTGGCAGAATGGCCATGCTTTGCCACCAAGCACTGGGCCGAGTATGTGTCATTTTGGCTTCGCCAGCCCGCTCAGTTACTACAGAGTCCTCAGTTCAGTGGATGACATTTTAAGGCAGGGGGGTAGCTGTGGGAAAAGAGAGGACCACGACTTGCTTTGTAAGTACGAAGAGGAAGCTAAAAGTCCAAGAATTATGGCCTCTTCAGTACTCCACAGCTACAGGTACAGAAACATTGAATATATCATGTACATAACATTGCTTATAGACTCTACATGTAAAACGTTAACCAATTTATCATGGAAATCTGGTAACAAGTAACATTGCCATATAAATTCACACTTCAAGAAAGGCTAAGTGTGGAAGCCTCCTTTACAAGAGGATTTTCAGTCAATGTTTTGAATAGAAAATATTAAAACAATGATGACAATTTGTTCTCTGAATCTCAATTCATTACTGGGTTAGTTTTCAGGATTGGAAAAAGGTTCTCCTTAGAAAATGCGTGAATACTTGGAGTACGGATTCACAATCTAAGTATTAAATAATTGAAAAAAAAAAGTTTCAACTGTCAGGAAGTCTTACTTGGCTGCAATATTTTAAAGCAATAACAGCAATACAAGGCATAGAAAATCTTTTCCTGCAACACTTGTAAATGTAAAAGTATTCACATTAAATGCAACAGAACTATTAAAGAATAAACTGCTTGTAGAACAGAGAACTGGGAGACTAACTATGCATTCAGTCATCTTCCTTACAGTTGAACTCCAGCTGTTTAAAAACATATTGATTTCATAATTTGGAAAATGATGTCCCATAGGTAACTGGTCTGCATACTCCTATGAAATATGATGCCCCAAATGGCATGACACCCCTTTTTTTGAAAAGTTTTTATCTCATCTCCACCATTATCTCCACAGTTTAAACAAAAGAACAAATATCCAAATGTAAAATGCTCTTTTTTTTTAATTACTAAATTAAGAAAGTTAAACAGTTTTAAAATGTAAACTTGCAAATAAACCATAACAAAATGTAATTAAGACTTCAAAATTTGCAACTCAGTATTAAAAACTCAATAGAAATAGAAAGGAATTTTTTTTTTTTTTGGTTAAACGTAAGTAATTCAAGGCTGGTACAGACAACTGAAAAGGTAATACTTTGTTCTGTGCATCCCCCATGAAATGTAAAGAAGTGCATAGTAATTCCACTGGAGAACTTGCAGACACAGAGAAAGTAATTTCATTAGCAGTACAGGACATTTAACACACTTATTTTACAATGGAAAAATGTTACACATAAAACAGAAAAATCCTAGTTGCATGACCAACAATTTAGCAGGTGGACATGGCTAAATGCTATGATTTTAAGACCATTTGAATGTGGTTACACTGTTTAATAAATCTTTTTGAAACATTTCAGTATACGTGTTTTGATACAAGAAGTCTTTGCAGTTTCAATTTTCCAGTTCAAACGGTGATGGTGTAGTTTTCTTGCTTTAAATATGTTCGTTTTAATTTCAAGAACAAATCATCACACACTTGTCAAACATTGGAAACATTACTGTAAATACAGCACATGATTCCTGAAAGAGCAAAGTTACAACCATCTACAGGTACATAATCATAAACAAAAAGTGCAATCCAATTTAAAAAAATCATGCTTGGCAAAAGCCAAAAATTAGACCACTGGCTTTCAGAATCCCACCAGTGTTTTCATGTCTGCAGTAAAATTATCGCTTTCTGGGTACTGCTGCAGCAGGATTCATTCAAGTCCAAATGAGTGTCCTCTGCAATAGCACCCATATACTGTATGTACAGGTATGTATATATATTATATATATTTTATATATAAAAAAGCAAAAAACCAAACACCTGTCCTGATTTTTTTTTTATTTGTTAAAACATGAAAAAAAATGTTTTAGACAAAGAGGCCACTTCTGGAAAATAATACTTTTAGTTGAATCAGGAGAAGACTAGTTAAAATCACATAGGTTTTGCGTTTTAAAAAAAGGAAAGCACTAGGATCAGTTATTGGCACTGAGTTACTATTTACAATGAACAGAGGTTTTGCAGTTTACATAACATCAATACAATGCAGTTTTGGAGTCTCTGATTAAGAAAAAACAAGTGTTTTTCTCCTTTTCATCCAGGACATTCAGATTATTAGGACAAGTGGTCACAGGCAAGGGCTGCGGAAGTTCCCAGCTTCAGCCCCTCCCGTGCATGGCGGAGCTGGAAGATGCTGCACTCTGGAGAAGCCGATCACGGAGTTGGAAGCTGAAGGGCAGGTGGGGCAGGGCTGAGAAACACCTGGTAATTCATGACAGTGCCTGGAGACCAGGGATTTACAGGTTGTCACCGGGCTGGTACTGGGGTTCTGTTGCAGTGAAGTAGTCTTCAAGGAAACCCTGCAAATATTCGAAAGTTGGACGCTCCTCTGGGTCTTTTTTCCAGCAGTGGATCATAAGCTCGTGCAAGGAGATGGGACAGTCCTGAGGACATGGCATCCGATAACCACGCTCTACTTGCTCCAAGACTTCACGGTTATTCATGCCTGTAACGGGCAGACAAGTCCACACGGTTAAATTACAGGAAAATTAACCCAAGTATTATTGTATCTACAATACATATGGTATTCTTGATCATACTAATTTCTTTCGGTTCAGACAAGTGAAACAAATCTATCCCAATGTCCTGTTTCAGCTCTTCATCTACTGCAAGGTAACCCGAATAATTTTCTTTCTCAGTAAAAGGCTTTAGGATCCAGTGATGAGTAAAACGCTGCTCCCATGGTTACCCTCTTGGCTTACTCACAATGGGCAGGATTTGGCACTTTCCAACAACAGTAGCTGTGAAATATATTATGTGAAGTGATTAAGGAAAGTAAATGCGTTACAACAAATACTATTCAAAATTCTAGAAACGAATGAATTTTTGAAACCCTCACACTGAGCGTGGGCCTTTCTTGAAGTGCTCTGTGGGGTCATGCTACAGAGACTTCAAGACAAACTCTGCTACTTTTGGCTACCAGGGATGTCCAACAGCATTACCTTCAACATCAGTTCAGAAGCTTACTGCTGCTGCTGATCTGCACCTCCCTCGATCTGTGCTGGTTAGTATTGTTTCTACCATATTCCACTGTTCCATCCCAACCCGGAAGAGAACAACATTACTCAGAAGACAAGATGAATGCCAAGCAAAACAGTGCCACTGCAGAACCACAGCTCTCCCTCAGAAAAGGTAAAAATTTACATTACTGTCATGCTTGTCTCCAAGAGGCAAGCCAGGTCTTCTGCTACCTTGTCTTTTCTATGCAACCCCTTCAACCCTCGACTCCTCTGCTGAAGTGCTTTCACCATACAGTAATTGCTGTCAACCTCAACTTTAGTTTAAATACCTCTTTCAGTAATTCCTTTGGCTTTTTAACAGTACCAAAGGTAAGACTGGCACTGCAGGCATGCAGAAGTATTTCTGAGAAAGTGGGCACGCTGACTGCAAGCTTTGTGGCTTGCCAGTTGGCAAGCCCTGTCCCAGTCCTCTCCTGAAAAATATCTGCAGGCTTCACTCCTCTGACTAGTGGGTCCTGCCAAGCAGCTCTTCAGGAAGAACTAGTAGGGACACTTAAGTTCCTCCATGACCAGGTCTAGAAACCAACACCTTGATATTGCTCTTTCTGTTAGCTTATCCTCCCTCTGGCTTCTGTGACACGATCCTTCCCTAGGTCTCCTCTACTCTTTCTTTCAGGGTGTCCTCTTGATGAATTGTCTTGTCCCACCTTCAGGACCCAGGGGATTGTCTCTACCTTGTATTTTTGGTAAACTTATTTGTGAAGAAATAATTCAACCACCTTCTTCAATACAGATTGATTTGCCTACTCTACACCTTGACTAATGAGAATAATATCTTTACACTGCATAGCATTTAGGATGGTAACAGCTGTATCTTTGGACTTGGTCTTTGTGTCCTCACGTCCTGGCTGTGTTTAATTCTTAAAGATGTTTTGAAAGAAGCGTCTGCAACATTTGTTAGGATAACAAAACACCTTTTCCTCTTATCTTGGCAGGATAATTTCCTCCTGCTGATACCCGTTTGCAGTGTCTCTGCAAGGATCAATATCCTATCCTGTTATGGTAACCACCCCTTGCACGGTCTCGCCACTTGCTCCTTGTTGCTTACTATGTAAAATACCAGCCGCTTGTCAAAGCTTCTCACAGGCTGCCCCACTAGCGTTTAGGCTCTCATTCGGCCATGTCCTGGTCCATTGACAGTTCTGGTCAGCTCATTGCAGCACCTTCGGTTTTCAAACAAGCACTGATGTGCTGTTCCTTATGCTGCTGGTTGCGCATGGAGGAACTTCCCCAGAAAACTGCCTTGTCCTCCTACAAACCTTTCCTTACTGTTCCCTTAGCAGTGATAGTTGCAAAAAGAAAGGTTAGATTACTGACTTAACAGTTTTTCCTAACCTGCAGACCAACACTTTAGCACTGTTTTCTTGTGTTTCATTTATCACCTGCATCCACCCGCTGTATTTTTGGTGTTAGATGTTTATGAGTAGGAGAAAACACTTCGTACGGCACCTAAGTGGTCTGTGGTTAGGCCTCCAGAGAATGACGAAAATAGAGTAATAACGGTCCTCTGCAGACACCAGACTCTGCATAGAGTTAAGGTTCTCCTGTATTATTGACTCCAAACTGATGGTGTTATGTCACACAGGCTCACAACAAACCAGAAAACTGAACAAACGTTTGCGTGTTCCTCATTATTCAACAAGAACATTTTCAAACATATTCTACTTTTTTATTAGATTACAAAACAGCGCTAGTGCGCCTGTTAGTCATCACCAATCCAAAGGCAGCATCAACCCAAACCTTCTGGCCTTACTGTTTTCAAGATGCTACAAGAAAAAAATTGGCATTTTGCTCATGTTGTGTTCTCAATATTAGTTTTTTTAATTTGTGTTTTGAACAAAAATCTACAGCCTTTTTTCATACCCTTGACTTTGAATCAGCAGAATTACCTCATGTTTTGGGCTAAGAACTTCTGCTGTGCTTTGCTTCCCTTACATATTAAAGGCTAAGAAAATAAGTGTTACCAGTAAGTCATCTATTGTATATACCTAAACCACAAACAAACTGCATTCTTTGTTTTTATTTTGGCAGTACCCCTTTAAGTACAACACGGGTGGAAGCAACAGCAGCAGAAAAGCTCCTGCCCAACTGATTTGTTATTCTAAGATATCAAATGTTTGGTATTTTTATCCACTGCATTGCTTAGTGCTGCAAAGCACACTCTGAAACTTGATAATGAACTGTATGCTGGAAGAAAAACCCTGATGAGGAGAGGAAAAACATAAACAGTTCCTTGCTTCCCTTTTTTTTTTTAAAAAAAGAAAAAGATAGAAAAAAGAACATAAAAGAAATATTGCTATCTGAAATAGACATTTTTTTGTCCCTGGAAAGTCAGTCAAACCAGGTTTTCTCATCCTGATATATAATCCAGGAAAATGCCCTTCTTTTCCTTTCTTCTTTCTCCTCCCTCCCGGTAAAACCCAGATACGAAACTAAACCAAGTAATCCTCATGTTCCGTACTGGAATTCATACATCTAGCAAGGGCTGCAGCACCTAGGATTTGCCAAAGAAATTCTGTGACATGTGCTGCTAATTAAAAAAATTAGTTTCAAATACTTTTTTTTTCAGAATAATTTGAATTATTAGTCAGACATAAAAATTGCAGTATTTTAGGTGTACTTTTTACCTCTTAAAAGGTCTATTTATGTTTACAAACCTATTATCCAGATTTGCTTATCTTATCCTACAAGTTTTAGTGTTTCTTTTTTGATAGCAGGAGCCTGTTGTATCTGCACTTCTAACACCACAGAGAGAATATTTGAGCAGTCAGTACAACTCCTCTCTCCTAATGAATACCCGAGAGTTTCAACTCTTTTAGTAAATAATAAATGACATTCTGCTTGCAGTATGCTTCTAGACCCCTTAAGAGTTTATCCTAAAATCCTTAAATCTGTGGAATAAAATACTCAGCAATATTCTTCTGTAGACTATTTCACCTGCTCGAAAAATCAGTTTGTGCTCATGATGTTTCTAGAATTACCATTTGGACCAAGGAGGAAACATCCAATTTCCAAAACACGGCTTTTCCATTAGCTTTTTATTCCCTGAGAAGACCAAAAATGAAATAACCTCCCACCATCCATCTCTATTAGTGAAACCTCCAATAATCTTAGGATGCCACATGATATGGCCACTTTAATGCTTGATACAATAAAAATCAACTGTCCATATGGACTGGGGACAGAAACACAATGCTGCTTCACATTTCCTAGAAAAGCTGCAGTAGCAAGAATTACTGTGACATAAAAGAGGATGTAAAGTTTCCAGTTGTGGCTAAAGAAAACACTGAAAAGTGCTTTGGAGTGCTCTGAGGAGCTTCATTAGATGGAGCATGGTAGTTGTGCAAATAGCACAGATCTCGGCAGTGCTGCTCTTCTAGAAGACAGGAAACTTTACTGTAACTAGGCAGCATCCCCACATCCAAAGCTAATAAGCTATATAGATTTCTTTGGGCAACGTGAAGTCCAGTGAGGACAGTGTGGTTTTAAGCCACTTTATTCATGTTTTCCTCTGTTGCACTGAGAATTATGATCCTTCTAGACCCACTGCATGCTTTCAGACCAATGACCAAAACAATAACAGACAAAAATGCTTAAAGTAGGACTCTTAAAACAACAGCTCAGCTGCTGTCCATCCCCAGAAACGCTGTATTTCAGATTCTCCAAGAACCCAGAGCTGTGCCTCCGCTCATGTTCAAAAGTTCCTCAGATGTGGTCGTGTTGGTCCTTTTCTAGTACAGTTAAGAAGGGAAAACTCTGTAGTCCTCCAGAGGGTCTGGATCACGTTGGCACGCGGAGCATGCTCTCAACAGAGAGAGGTAACAGTGGAGACAGGTTGATTTCTGGGTTTTGTTCAGTTTGATCTAGAAGCAGAATTCTTATCTTCCGTGGACAGCCCCAAAGAAGAGCCAGATGTGAGGGCACAGGGATATGATATGGGACTTAGGCAAGGAGATTATTCCATACACAGGCACAATAGTGCACTGAAGGGAACAGGAAAGCTGCTCCTGCAGGAAGACAACTTTTGAAGCATAATGCTGTTCTTACTGAGTACAGTATGAACATAGTTATTTCTGTGCAAAAGTAGTAACAAGTTTTAAAAATCTGGAAGTTGTGCGACTACACTTAGAAATTAAGGCCTGAAAAACCCCAACAGCTCCTTCTCATCAAAACACTCACACAGCTATGCTATCAGTATCTTGGGTTTTTCTTTATTTGCTTTGTTTTTGTTTTTTAAAACAAATTATTATTTGCTTGGTATAAGAGATGAAACTTTGAGCTACAGCATTTGTGAGTGGAGCTTTCCTGCTTACAAAGAAACCCACCTGAGCTTATCTGTGCTATGTGCTGAGTACACATCTCTCTCAACTCCTTATCTACCATCTGTGATGATGATACACACACACATGCCGGCTCACTGATGTGCACTCTGCCCCAGCCTTGGGCAGTGTACCATGCACTCTCTGGCACTTGTGGCCCAGCTTCCCCCAGGGATGAGGAGGCTGAACACAGTCCCCCAGTGACTGCAGAGCTGCTTGGAGCCCAGACTCAAAGACCTGCCTGGCTGGAGGCAGCCATGTGGATAGCATCATGGTGGCTGTCACACTAGACATAAAATGTAAATGCTCTTGACATGACAAGTGCAGCAGAAAGTCAAAGGGGCAAGTTCAGAGGCACTTGTTTAGTGCAGCTGAGATTTTTGCCTATCCAAAAGACAACACGTTAAAACCCCCCAAATTCTCTGGCTACTGCTAGAGAAATACAACTTCCTACTCTCAAACTACATTAAAAAAATCAAAACTAAGATCTAAGGGAAATTTGTGAAAAGGGAAAGAAACAGATACTGAAAAAGGTTGGCTAAGCAGATTATTTTTTAAACTTGGCTCCTCTTCTGCCCATATCTAGTTTTCACTTCCTCACTGTAATAGTGGAAATAGAACTCAATGCTCAGAAAGACTGTGAAAGTTGCTTATTTCAACCTGCTGCCTTGTGAAAAGAATGGGAAAGCATTAGAGAATGCTAGGAAAAGCACTAATAAATTAGTTATCATAGTGGTCCATTATGTCCATCGACAGAGAAACAGGCTGGGTTCAAGGATGCTGATGAAGACACTTGTCAAAAAGTCAGTCTTGCTTGTGGAAGTTATAGGGTCTGGGGCAAGGCTTAATTATGAACTCTAGCCTGATCTTCATCTCTGCCAGCAAAATCTTTACTGCTCACACGTCCCACCATTGCTCCAGCCTCTCTTCCAAAACGGGGCATCAGAACAGGAACTGGTTGAAATCTGAGAGACAATGGATGCCAAGTCCTGTTCTACACACTCTGTTCCCCTCCTATATACTGCTTTCCTTCTCCTTCTGTCCTCCTTGTTGTGCTTCTCCCTCCTTCTACACAAACTTAAAACAATGGCTGGTTCTCCAAGGCATGAGGTACGGTGCCCTGTGGGCATGGTTATCACCACACAACTGGGGTGTGTGCTATAAATAACCTCTCCAGGCAGTAAGACCGCGTCAAGCAAGACAGCAATTCCTTTGTTTGAGGGACTCTTCCCACTCCCCCCAGCCTGCTACAAGCTGTAAGCAGGAACATCAGGACAATATGCCCACAACTATTTCAGAAACTGTGTATTACAGCAGAGTGACAGCTTCATGACCCTCTTTGTTTCAAGGCTGACTCTTTCCAGAGCTTGCAAATCCACATGCCTTGGGTGCCAGAGTGGTTGGCAGTGCCTACAGACTGCATTCTCTCACCTACAGGTTGTTTCCTTGGGTGAGGAGGGCTGAGTTTTGCCTCTCAGGATGCTTGAACTCCCATCTTTTCCTCCTTGCGCAAGCCATGCTGCAATGGCAGGAAAAGCACTATGGGTGCATCTGAACCTTACTCCCTGCCCCAGACAGGGACCTGAATTCCTGAAGCTTTATCCTTCCTGAATTCACAAAGCTTTATCCCTCCCCTCTCCAGCGTGAAGCAGGAGATGGATGATCCCTTCCATGTCAGGGAAAAATAGAGTCTTTCCTGAGAAGCTCAGGAGGTCTTTGTCACCTTGGGAAGTCTGAGCCCTCTTTTCAACCCACATGCAAAGACAGACCCTTCTGAGAAGGCCTCAGTTCTTCTCCACCATTGCCTCAGCCTATAAAATCTTTCCCAGTTATGGTCTGGGGAGTGAGACTGAATTGAAATCTCTAAAGACTTTGGAAATTCAGATTTAAAATAGAGGTTGCCCTTAGGTAAAACTGACAGAGAGGGGAGTGATGGTGACCAGGAGAATGATTAAGGCCTCCTGGCTGAGCAGAGTGGGAGTCCCTGTGGGGAGGAAGGGCCCTGGCGTAGAGCGTGGGCAGTGCGTAACTGAGGCAGTACATGACCGTTCAGAAAATTGCTGACTCTGTGATATGTAACACACAAAAACTTGCTTCCAGCTACTTGATGTCTTCCTAACGTGGGTGGGGGAGAGTGAGACGGAAGGACTTTGAGTGTGTGAGGGCTTTACGCAGTGAGGGATGAAGGGGGAGGACAGTGCTGAAAGAGAAGAGACGCTGCTAGTTGTCTTTGATGTACTCAGACTGCCACACAATAAAACTGTCCACATTTTCAGGACACAGACCATGCCTGAGATTTCTGTCATGGGCCCTACAAGAGGTTATATATTGCAAGCACTTAAATGAACATCCAGTGGCTTCTTTCTCCTTCAGGGAGGGAAAGAAACACTGGGGAACTGCAGATATCCTCTGCTGCCGTGGCCAACACTGTGTTCAGTTACAAACTTGTGAGTTAACACGGGGCTTAGACAGCCTCTTTTGCCCGGAACAGTATTTTTCCGGTGTGTATGCGTGTGTCTGTGCTTATGCATGTGATAAGAGAGAAGGCTAGTCACTAAGCATCTCTGCCCCACCAATGTGGAGCTCGGGGAAAAAAATTCACCTTAGCTCTGCCCTGGCTGGTGAGACCCCCTGTTCACCCACTCTGCTGGTAGTGAGTAGGGATTTCCTCTTCCTGCAGCCCAGCCAGGAGCATTGCCCACCCTCTGGGAGCAACACATCTTCTTACACATCTAAGCCTCACACATCTTCTTTCTGTCTTTGATCTTTGCACACTGTGCCATGTCTGCGTTTAACCCTCAATAAACCCATGGAAATCACAGCTCTCCCATGCCATTGCCAGTAATCCTCATGGCAAGGAGACGTTTGTGCTGGCTACTGACACAGCCACTCCGTGCGGTGGCAACACCCGCTTTTCTTTAACCACATGGGGAAGTGCTGGGCAGAGGGACTCATCCATCCCACACAAACACGTCATCTTGCTTTCTGCTACCTCATTCCGTTGTCACAGTCACAGCTTTGCTAAGCTGCTCGCTGTTAATCATGACAAAATTTACTGCTGATCACGAGAAGCCTTCCAGTCCCCGTATTCTCTTCCCAAATGTCAGCTACTGGCTGCTAGGTGCTAGCAAAGTTGAAATTCCTGGTTAAACTCTGGGACTATAGTTTTGTTTAGTTCAGCCTTCTGAAGTGGCACAAGATACCACAGGATAAACTGAACTCCACCTTCATGCTTCTGCTGCGCAATTTGATGTGTGGATCTGACTGCCTGATCACGGCATTTTCAGATTGGAAAATTGAAACTGCTTTGGGGCACTTTCCATTAAATGAGCTGCAGTGCACGCAGCCATACTGGTGAGTATTTAGAGATTTTTTCTTTTAATAAAAAGAATAAAGATGCAGCTAGATGCCCAGTTGTTAGTATCTGTGATGATAAGAAAGTGAAGGGATTAAAGTCTTTTGGTTGTAATGCACTGCTTTCACCTCACCCCTTTCCTTTTCACCTGAATGCCTACAATCTTCAGAGGGGCAAGAGAATGAAAAGCTCTTTCTGCATAGGCAGATCCAATCACAAATCTTACAAATCTTAATCCATCGGATACTTGGCAGGGTTTCAACAAAGAGCCTTGGGGCCTCCAGTTCCCCCATGCAGAGAATCTGGCCCCGCTGTGACCCTGCCATGAGCTCCAGCCTGCACATTACAGAATTATTTTCTTTCCTTTCCCTCCATCTTGAAAGCAAGGATTGAAATTTAAGAGTTTATAAAAAAGAGATTTGGTAATACCAGACATTCAGACAGTCATCAAACCTTGCACAGAACCAGACTGACAGAGTAAATGGAGTAATGCCACTCTGGCAGTTTAACTGTTGGTATCTTAAACTGAATGCAACACTATGGAGAGCTATTTGCTCCACAGTATAGTAATTTTACATTGCTTTCATTACTTGGCTAGAAGGTATATTAATTGAATTGAGAACAATTGAAAAATTAGAAATGAATATGTTGGATTTTCTGTCCTCTTGTCATTTTTATCATGACCGTCACCCAGCAGCTTTCAGAGTCAGGACCATTTTCAAGCATACGCAGAACTTATGCGTGATAACCAACCTCCTTTGTGCCCAGTGAAAATAAATACACATTCCAATTTAAGCATATGGCCTGTTCCCCAGGTGAAGCTGGGCTCAGACTGTTGTCTTACCTGGGTATGGCACTCTCCCTTTTGTTACCAGCTCTGTCAGTAGGATCCCAAAAGACCACACATCCGACTTTATTGTGAACCTTCCATACAATGCAGCTTCTGGAGCAGTCCATTTAATGGGAAACTTTGCACCTAATGAAAGAATAAATGAATCTTAATCAGAATAGAGACAGAATCAAAGTACCAGGTCACAGGTGACTGTTGTGTCCTGCAACACGTGCAGGAGGACAGAGCCTCAGGCAAGTGTTAACAAACAGCTCCATGGAGTGTGGTCGGAGAGGACAAGCGGGTGGAATATGTAGGGCAGAAGGAAAGACTTAGCAGGGAAGGGGTGGGTTTGTCCCACATCCCAAGAGAAGGCTAAGACATTTTAATTCAGGTTTGAAGTTTTATAAAAGAAAAAAAAAGTTTTAAAAACCAATAAGCCAAATATAATAGAAATTCTTTCTCCCGAAATGTTTTGAATTAACATTTCCCTGTGATATTTGCAAGTCAAAGACACTTAGCACATATGAATAGAAGTGAGATTCATAAGAAATGTACCTCCCAGTTTCCCTGCTCAAGCTGAGCAAAATGCAAAACAAACAAACATGTTAAAAACTTAAATTAAAAACAAACCTAATATTTCATTAGAAACACGCAGGGACTTAAAAGTAACACTGCCATTTGAGTTGCTTGGAGTGCAATGATGTCAAGCACAACTTTGGCCTGTGATTTATAACTTGACAGTGTACTTTAAGCTCCTGGCACTGAAAAGCCTGTAGTGCCTTAAATACGTGCAGTTCTAATGTGATCATCCATCATCAGAGCTTGCAGGAGCCAGTTGTGGTAAGGATGGTAAGATAACAAGCCTTTAAACACTGACTTATTTGCTTTTCCAATCATTTACTGTTTTCTTAGGGAAAATATTTTCAGTATGACTTTAAAGAAATGTCTTGTGGAAATAATTAACTCGTAGTATGTACGAAAAAATATGCAGACATATCCCTGGTGCCTTGTACTAACATACAGGCAAAAGAGTTGCATTGCTTATTGCTGATCCCTAGTGACAAACACTCTTGAATTTGGAAACAGACTGACTTTGACTTCTCACCACCCTCTCATAAAAGTTCCCTTAGCTTTCAGGAGGAGTGTGGAAAGTGTAACAACGTGGACAAATCGCTCTCAGGGAGTGAAGTTATGGCACTGTTTACAGTTCCCTGACAGAGCTTTTCTGCCATCACATCCAGTGCTCGATGGCCTGTATCTTCTGCTATATGCTGCAATCTGACTTGACTGAGAGTACAAAGCAAACATGGTAGTTCTCATCTCCTTACTTAGTAAAACATCAGGTGTGCTAAAATTTTTCCTGCTCTACATGTGAGTGATTCTAAGAGAGAAGATTACTTAGAAACTAATACATTTTTCTAGGGAAAATTGCAGTTGCTCAAGTAACTCCTGCTAAACAAAAAGACGCGAGACAAACTTTCAAATGCCTTATGCCTGAAGTCAGAAGCTTCAGTCTAGTTAAACATCAACACATCAGTGGTTAGATTTGCACAGGTGCTGGAGGATTTTTGGATGCCTATTCACTTTCAAGAAAGCCCACCCTGTCTGTGTTTTCATTAGTTGACATGCAGGCAGGAGCTAAAATTTGGGTGCTCGGCTTTGGTCTCAATCTCTCTAACTTACACTTCTTCATGGGACCAATCTTAGTTTACAAAACTCGAAATTTACAGAACTTCATCTTTTCTTAAAAACTGCTTTGGCCGTGATGCCCAAGATCTCTGCAGCAGCAGCCTGCCATCACCTGAGCCTCTGTCCTGGAAGCTGGCCAGCAGCCATGTAGGGTTGGCAACCGGGTCCCCCAGACACTGGCAGGTCCTGGGGCTACACACCCCTTGCCAATCCCTGGAAAAACAGCAAACTGTGTATGTCGGGTGGTCGGGTTCTCTAGGCCTGAAGTGCATGGCTTTAGATGGGCACGTGCAGGCATGCCGTGACTATGGGGGCTAACGTCCCTCTGCTCTCTCATACGTGCAGCTGAGACAGAACACCCACCCACTGTGCCAGCTGAACGAATAGCTCCAGGCTGGCCAGCAGCCTGAGGGCTTGGACGTTGGCTGGTGGTGTGCGAGAGAGCCAAGCATGAGGGTTTGCACATTTGCATGTTGCATACATTTTATTAAACAATTGTTTTTTTTTCTTTAATCAGCTGTTTTTCTGAGAAGCTGAGCCAAACACAGTCTAATTCCCTTGTGCTTCATACTCAGATCCAAAGGTAGCAACCACCTAGAACTCAACTTTGGAGGAAAGAAATCTCTTCAGATTCCTTTGTGGCCAACTCCCTTGGTATTTTTGCCTTCCTCATCTACTGCTGGTGTGGCACTGGGATGTGAGGATGTGGTGTGTGGAGGGACCATGGGAAGACGAGAAGCAAGATAAGTAGGTGAGAAGGGGGGACAATTCCAGCACATCCCTTTTCCTGAGAGCTAGAGCAGTACAAACCCCATTGGACAGAGATGAGCACTGCTGGAGGAGTCAAATGGTCTGTGCTGTGGATTTTCCGATGACAGGGTAGCTACTCGTTACATTTCTATGTTGTCCGTGCTGTGGGTGATTCTCTGGCTAAAACAACTAATGCAGAAATCACATGTTGTGCATTTTGTGCGGTATCTACTGAACTTTGGTTTTAAGTGACAGAAGGGGAGGAGGGAAAGGTAAGGTTGGCAGAGGTCTCTATCAGAGCCCTGCCTCAATGGTCTTCTGGCCCCTCAACGCATGCTGGAGGCTAGATGCTCCAAGAAAGCCTGCAACCTAGTAGGGCAGAGCCATCAGTAAGGGGAAAGGAAAGACACAGTGGCCACCTGTGCAATTGGAGGTACAACACATGCACTGCGTAACACAGAGATCACACACGGCTTGGGTAAGTGGGGGGGGGTGTGTGCGCGCGTGTT